CTCGATCCACACCATTTTTTAAGCTTTAAATTTTATAATTAAAGATGAAAATATATTTTAAGGCTATCACAAAGATTTTCAGTATTGAAACCACATTTCTGGACACTATTTAAAGGAGCACTTTACTTTGATTTAGAAACTTGGCTCTATACAAACCATACCCCTGAAAAATAAGACTTCAAGTCCTAAAAGCTAGTCCATCTAACAAGTTATTAGGAATATGAATTTTCAATTTTCATTTGTTTATAAATATGCTTGATTAAGACCATCCTTTGAACTTTACTTTATAAATATGGGTAGAAAGAGATTTTTAAGTAATTGTACAGGTTTCGGCACCAAATCTACATGTTCCCATAGAATTTGAAGGGGTCTTTTACGTTAATTGTTTAAAATGAGCACCTTATATAAACCGCACCCTTCTATCAAATGACACTAAATGCGAGCTACCAATCGTAAACGAAACTGAAGGATATCGTTCGTAGCATAAAAATATGTTGGAAAATGTTTTTATAGAGCCGAGGCTCTAAACAATCAAATGAGAGCCCAACTTAAAAATTTGACTAGAAGAGGTAATTTTGATGCTCAATCATCAAATTGATCATCTCAACATCAAGATGCATAGACATGTGAAAAAAATGGATTTCAAGTTTTGAAAATAGTGCCTTTTGTAACGCATTTTTGGACCGTTAATTTTCACGATTTTCATGTTTTTATAGATCGGTCGATCTACACTATTTTTGAAGTTCTAAACTTTATTAATAACGATGAAAATATATTTTAAGGCTATCACAAAGATTTTCAATATTTAAACCACATTTCTCAATATTATTTGAAGGTAGGCTCTAATTTGATTGTTTAGAGCCTAGGCTCAGTGTTCGCAAAATCGAACCGAAACAAGTAACCGGACATGGGGCCAAAAGCAGTTTAACCGGCCTAACTAGTAAACCAGCCGATTTAACCATTTTAACCGATCAAGCCCCTAGCGGCCAAAAAAATGTTGAAAAAATAAAAAAGATGCAAATTTTTTTTACTAAAATATGAAAAACATATAAAGAATAATTAAAACAAAACAATTTTAAATGAAGTTGAAGATTAATGAAAAAATAGATATTAAAAGTGAGTATTAATGACCAAAATCAATAGTTTAAAAAACAGATCAGTGCCCCGGATCGGGCACCCCAAAAATCCAAATGGATCGGTGAATCGGCGATTTGGATCAGAATTGGCCGAATCGGTCGGATTTATCCTTAAAACAAATCCAAAAAAATTATTAAAATTCACTATAACTGTTGTTTTTTAGGAATCCAATAAGAAATGGGGGTACTCCATTAAGAACTTTCATTTTTTTGTATGAATATGCGAATATTGAGATGTTTGTTCCCTGTATGAACTACTGTTTACCATTAAATTTAAATCACACAAAAGGATAAGCTTAGAATTATCATTGATGAAGTATATCATCATAATAGGCTACAATAAAGCATACAATTTGTAAAATATGACCTAATAATAAAATGAAAGACGACGTCGTTCTTCATCTTGGTCACGCTGGTATCATTTATTGAATTTGCATGACAATTCATTGACTCGATCTAGGAATGAATCATCCAAACTAGTAGGCACCTGACATACCCAAATCTCTGAGTATTAGTGTCAATAAAAAATCTTAAATTTTACAATCGTATCAATAAAAAATATATTTACAATGGTATAGTAATTCACAATATCAGTACCTATGGACTCGTCACAAATCTTCATTTTGACAATCATGAATTAGTTCCTGCTAGGAAAAAAATTATATTTATGTAACATTATAGATAAAAAGAGTTTGGATAAGTCACACTTAGAATCAAGAAAAAAAATATAATAATATAGTCATCCATAATCCCACTACACGTAGATTTGCCACAAATAATATTTACAATGATATAGTCATTCAAGAAAATATAATTATAAAATATGTATCAGAAATATACATACATTTTATATATCGACATCCATTTTTTTTCATTAAAAATTTGACAATAAAATGAAAAAATACAAGTTAATTTACTCACTGGTTTTCATGATAGCACCACCTAGCCTACTTACCTCTTTTAAAATTACTTTCCAACAAGTATACAACAATATGTGGGCACAATCCCAAGATAAAAATGAGCACAAATATTCCAACAACTGAATTACAAAAACTCTTCAGTCAATTGTGTAAAATTATAATCCAAACATAATACAAAACTCAACAATTTCATTTCAAACACACAATTGACGTACATATATACATGGTTAACACATGATCTAAGTAAAAGCACAATAAGGGAATCAATGGAAGCCTTTCAAGATAATATAATTATCAAATATGTATCAAGACTCTACATACATTTTATGTATCAACATACATTTTTTTAAGCTAAAAATTTAACAATAAAATTGAAAAATAATATAATTATCATACATGCCACGAGTTTTTAACAATGATATACATATATTTAATACCAAGAATATACACACATGCCACAAATAATATTTACAATGATATAGTCATTCAAGATAATATAATGATAAAATATTTATCAAGAATATACATATATTTTATGTATCAACATACATTTTTTTGCATTGAAAATTTAACAATAAAAATGAAAAATACAATTTAATTTCTCATGATAATCAAAACCTAGTCACGATTTTTCAAAAAAATTGATCATCAAAATTTCATTTTTTAAAAAACGCAGCCACAACTCCATTTCTTAAGAAATCGAGCAAAAACCTTGGTTAATCCGACAAAATACACCCAAAACCATATAAAGAATAGTATCACCTTCAAAAATCCTCTGAAATAATTCATAATGGTACTTCAATTCATCTCAAATTTGTAGTTTGGAGGAAAAAAAAAAAACCTAATTGTATTTGACAAACCGTGACTCAAAATAAAAAATCCACCACACATCAACCAAAAAAGAGAAAATAAGATACAAATATTCGTGAATAACATCATAAAGAACTAAAACCCTATGATATGAACAAAACATTTGCTAAAAATAGATCCGAATCTATTAAATGGCGGAAAAATACCTGTTTTTCTGAAACCGTGACTTCAAATTCAAACGTCACTTGTAATTGACCAAAATTAACAAAAATGGAGTACAATTTCTACTGAATAACACAGTCACGAGTAATTTCCCTCTGATTTCATAAAAAATAGTGGTCTATTTCTTCTGTAATCCAACAAATGGTGGAAAAACCTAAAAAAAATGTGTTCTTGAGAAAACCTGAAATTTATGTGTTCTTGAGAAAATCTGAAATTTGTGATCCAAAATCTAGCTTGAACCCTATTATAATGGTGGAAAAAGATGAGAAACACGTGCATTATTGATCAAAAAGCCTGAAAGATTCATTTACATGAATTATTAAATATAATATAGTATTATAATATTGCATCAAAATAATTTTTAAAAAAATAAATTTGAAAATTGTCATATAATATCATCTAATTTACATCTACAACAACAAATAATTCATTATATCACCTAATTTGAATTTCTTGTATATTTTTTATAATAAATATAATTAGTTTAAAAATACTTTAAATTGCTAGTATATTTTGTAAGCAATATTTGAGTTGCTAATATACTTTTAAAAAACAAGCAGTGCTCTTATTTATATATATATATATATATTGCCACCCAAAATATATTTTTCTCAAATTAGTCTTCTATTTGGGTGAGTAAGCATACAATGCTTTCAGCATGACTGCATAATCGCACTTGGGCTGAAAACATGAGAAATAACTAATGGTTGGGCGAGTTTCCGCCATTAACAATAAAGACTAAAGGTATTCACGTCATTATTAGATAAGGGGGAAACATACAAGTGGAGTGTGGGACAACAATAATATTTGGGTTGACGGGGACGCTTTGTCCCTCTACAATTTGCATGCATAAAGGCCGTGGAAGAATTGTCTCACGTCGACAATTTTAGAGAGACTTAACTTGTATAAAATGGGTAAGGTCGATGTCTTTCACTGTACCTGTTTGAGCGGGATGAATGGTAAGTGAAATGCTCTTTAATAAGAGATGGGCCCTTATCTTTTATTTTAAAAAATATTTCAAAAATACCCTTGGAAAGAAAAGCAAATTTTTTTTATTTTTTACTGTAGCGACACGATGACGTGTCCGGTGTTTCTCATAAAAATTGCCGGCTCGTGAAAAGACTTGCCGGCTTATGATGTCATCGTGTCAAGTTTTTCTCATAAGACTTGCTGGCTCGTGATAAGACTTGCCGGCTTATGATGTCATCGTGTCCGATTTTTGTAAACCTTGTTAATAACACAAAGATGACAACCATAACATTGCTTGATTATATTCGGATAGAAATTTTATCAATTTAGCATGGGGATTGTCTAAAAAGCAACCATTTATCTTTTGTACATGGAGATCACAGTCATTCTCACACATTAGATATTAATTGGAAGACTTAGGGTGAGTCACAAAGTTCGAGAGTTGTTTTTTTTTTAACTTTGTATATATTCAATGACACTCTCACGATCATACATTTTGAAATTTAAAGGACATAAATGATTATGACATCTATATACAAAAGATAAATAGTCTCTCTATAGACAATTGCTTCAATGTATATTTTTTTGTTAAATTAATTCAAAGTATCACTCAAAACAAACAAATAAGAAATACACGTAGACAGACAAACATTGCAAGTTTGACTAGCATACCCAACCATGAAATATCTCTACATTAGATGAGTGCATTATCATTTTTTTTGAGCTTTGTGTATATTCAATGGCACTCTTACAGCCACACATTTTGAAATTTAAAAGACATGAATGATTGTGACATCCATGTATAAAAGATAAATAATCTCTTTATAAACAATTGCTTTAATATATATTTTATTATTAAATTAATTCAAAATATCACTCAAAACAAACAAATAAGAAATACACGTAGACAATTAACCGTTGCAAGTTTGACTAGCATACACAGCTATGGAATATCTCTACATTGGATGAGTGCATTATCACCAGAATAATCCATGGGAGAGAGTGATTCAATGGAGGGATTATCTTCCGAGGCTGAGGATCCAAGAGTTGGTGTGATTGCTCCATTATAATGCCCTTTCCTAGATGCAGTAAAGCTCAAAAAGCTACCCATAGTTGCTAAGGCACAAAAGGTTTTGAACTCCACTTCTTTCTCACTTTTTCTTTTCCTAAAAATGTGAGAACTGTTCCTCTCATTAAAGAGTCTAGCTATTTCCTTGACTCTCTGCCATAGCCCTAGTTCATCTAGTGTAATGCTATTGCGATTCTCGATCCAGAAGCGAATGCAGAACCAGATTACGGCTGCAAATGAGGCAACCCCTACAATTAGGAAGAGGCCCCAAAAACAACTAAGGCTAAGCCGAATCCGGGCGGTGTCGGGTGATGAGGAGTCTGGTTCTACTATTTTTTTGCCAAACCAAGTTTTCTTTATAGCCTCCATCTTGCCTCCTTGTGTTATGTTGAGGATCGCAGTGGAAAAATCAGAAAGTAGGAGGGAGTTTTTCGGGAGGACCTGGAACGTAAAGAGGAAGAATGGTCAAGTTAGATAAACAAGTGCAAACACAGTGATTAGGGAAATAGGGATAACTTTTAAATTTAGAACACTAGCAAGCTCCAATGTAAAACTTTTATCCCTAACTCTAAAAAATAGAACAATCTACAATTGGTAATTTCTTATTTCAAACATTATGCAATCTCCAAAGTAAAATTCTATCCAAAAATTTGAAAAATAGAACAGCCAACAATTGGCAACTTTTTATTTAAAACATTAGAGAAGCCACAATTGGGACAAAGATAAGAGTTCTCACAAAACCATAGTCCCCAGTTGGGAAAGTTGGCCCAGCCATGGTGAATTTGTCACTGTAGTAAGAGAGAAACACTTCGATTTTGGGGACCTGGTCGAAGATCGCGGCAACACCACCACAGGAGCTTCCTTTCAACATGGCATTTTTATATTCTTCGACAGTGCCATATGGCCTCAATTTTGATTCATGGAATCCCAATTTCAATAAGAGATTCTGAACAAAAGAATTGCTTGAATATCCCACGTAATCACCATTCTTAATCAACGTGTGCACATTTGTGAATGCGGGTTGTAATTGTTGAACGGTGAGGATTGAGGCCAAATTTGCTGTGTAATTATTACTCAATATGAGCACAGCAAATAGCCAAAGGATGATTACAAACCGTGACAAATTGCTTTTTACCTGATCACCTGGAAAACAACTTTTAAAAGTTAGAAAATTGTGGTTTATTTTCTGTTTTTTTGGTAATTATATAAGTCTAGTCAAGTGTGAAGTTTCATCTTACCGATGGTTTATATACAGAATATAGCATATTCAAAATGAATCTCATTATCTCAAAAGATGGTCTCATTTCAGTCATCACCAGAGCAAATAACTGAATTTATATTCCAGGACAATGTGAAAGAAGGGCAACGCAAAAAAATTTAGCTAGAGTTTATGAAAAGCATGGAGTTTTTTCAAATGGAAATGCTCCAAAATGATAAACAACTTTCCTTTCTCAAGAGAGATCCTCAAAAGCAGCAACATATTAAGAATGCAAGATTCGAGCTTGTGTTTGAGTCACTAGCAATTGAAGTTAGCAATATGCTATATTTCAGGTATAATTTCTCCCGATGAACTACCCAAAAAAAAAAAAGACCAAGGCTTATAAAAGTAGACAAAGAGACCATTTACTTTTTTTTTAGTACAAGGAGTCAAAACTAGTATTTTCCATCAAATTTCCAATCAAATGGTTATAAGTGTACTTGTGACTAAACTCAAAACCCAATAAAAAATTTATTAAACTTCGTGATATATCCCAAGCCATCCAAATGGACATCTAATGATTAGAATTAATTGTAACCTCCTTGCACTAAAGATAAATGGTCTCATAGTATATAATCCCCAACGGCTGGCATTTTTTCCTTTCTCTTCATGGTAGGAAACAACAGTTTAAGTAAGGGTGCACTTTGTATAGAGCTGAGGCTCTAAACAATCAAAGTAAAGTGCGCCTTCAAATAGTGTCGAGAAATGTGGTTTCAATACTGGAAATCTTTGTGATAGCCTTAAAATATATTTCCATCTCTAATTATAAAAATTAAAGCTTAAAAAATAGTGTAGATTGAGCATATCTATAAAAATATTGAAAATTGACAGTCCAAAAATACAATAGAAGATGCACGATTTCCAAAACTTGAAATCCATTTTCTTTTCATGTCCAAGCATCTTGAGGTTGAGATGATCAATTTGAAGATATTTGGGCTTCAAAACAACCTCTTTTATTGAATTCATGTGGTGTACTCAGTTTAGAGCCTCGGCTTTATGTAAACATTTTCCTTTAAGTAAATTGTATTTCCTCAAAATAGTTTAATGGGACACAATTTCAAACATTATTCCGACATGCTAGCACATCCCTTCCAAACATAAGTATGAATACACTCCATTTGGTCGTTTGACTAACTTCTATCATCTAATTGGTAGATATGAACCATTTATATAGGTTAGCTTCAGTTGGTTTAATTAACTGACTTAATTTGAGCTTTTTGGGAGTTTGAGTCCAATTGCGAAGATCTAATATTTTTGTCTGTCCAACTGCTCTGGCCAGCATACAGGTTTAATGAGAGCATGCCCTATCTTAGTGGTTTGGGTATGTTTTCAAACGGGCTTTTTTGCCAAATACAATAAATATCAATGTTCAAAAAAATAAATCGGTGACTCGAATCTGTCTCACCCATATCAATGTTTGATCGGAGAATTGGTGGATAGGAGAATTCGTGGGTCGGATCAAAGAATTGGCGGAATCGGCAATTTTTATACCAAAAAGTTTTCAAAAAATTACTATAAATCTCTAAAAATAGTGCTCTTTTAGTTTCTAAAAGAAATTAGCAGTGGTACACTATATATTTTCGTTACTTTATAAAAATAGGTGAATATTGAGATGTTTTCCTATCTAGGTATCTGTATAACTACTAATTATAATATAGTATTATAATATTACATCAAAATAATTTAAAATTATTAGAAAACACTTCCATATAATTTAAAAATAATTTTAATGTATATAAAAATAATTAAATTGACATAAAGTTAACATAATTATATTAAGTTATTAACAAAAATAAACAACAATTTCATGTAATTATGTTAATATTTGTAAATTATCATATTGAATTTTATTTTTGTAATTATATGTAATTAAAGACTAATTATATGTACTTTATGTTTGTATATTATAAAAATATATATATATATATATAATTAATCTTAAAAAGAATTAAATCTTAGAAATAAATAAATATAATTAATCTTAAAAAGAATGATAGACTATTTAATTTTATAGATGTCCTTGTATAAAAGAGAGAGTCTATTTATAGAGCATTTAATGTATACATCATTGTATATATGAGAGAGAGAGAGAGAGAGAGAGCTATTTATAAATTATTTAATTTACTTTAACGATGTTCGCACACATATTTTCAATACACACTGTTTGATGCCATGTACTCTATATAAAAGGGTATACAAAGTGGTTGCGCATTGTAAAAGGTGTGCGTTGAATTATCCTACATCGAAGCATTCAAGTCGCATTCACTATTATAAAAGGTTTGTGGTACACGTACCTTAGTTTGATTGCGTGAGTGGGACGTGTTTGATACACAATGGCAACTGACAAATGTAGGAAATATGGGCAACATAAGCCCTCAATTTTGAAAAAAATTCCAAAGCTACCCTTGCAAAAAAAGTCCAAAAAAAATATATTGTTTACTGTAGCAAATCGAACGGTTTACTGTAACAAATCGGCTGGCCAGATTCGAAACGGTCCAGCTAATACCCAATCCAGATCGCTCGATTCCAGATCGAGTCACCGATTTTTAAAACTCTGATAAACAAATTAGAGGTCTTGAACCATTTAGCATGTGATAAACATTGGGTTGTATCCTATTTTAGAAAATAATTTATGTTCTTTCAAAATAATATATTTTTTTGTACTCTAGTATATTGGAAGTTCAATACTTTGAAAAGTGCCATATTTTTGTCTTATTTGTAGAATTGAATGAGGGAAGTATTGTTTAAATATGGATAAATAATCTCTTGTATTCTAAACACAAGAGAAAGAGAAAGTCTATGTCGAGAAGGGAAGTATATACACACACAAACGTGTGTGCGAGTGTGCAAGACCACTTGATGGAACACTTTACACTTTGCATCGAGTGCAGGTTTGATGTTGATAACTTGTGGGGACTTATTTCCTCCAGTTTGTGTCTGAGGTCTTTTTAATTTTCAAAGTGTTTTGTGATAACTTTCTTTTGAAGGTGTTTATGATAACTTTTAGTGTTTGGTGATAACTTTCTTTTGAAGGTGTTTATGATAACTTTTCTTTTGAGGTCTTTTTACCTTTCGAAGTGTTTTGTGATAACTTTCTTTTGAAGGTGTTTATGATAACTTTTTAAAGTGTTTTGTGATAACTTTCTTTTGAGGTCTTTTTACTTTTCACAGTGTTTTCAAAGTGTTTATGAATGAAGTTTTCTTACTTTTGAAGGTGCTTTGTGAGAACTCCAGGTATACCCACCTCTGGGTGTTGGGGTTGTGGGTTCGGTTCAGTATGCTTTTCTATTAAAAGAGATTATTAATTTTATGTAATTTTTTAAAAAATTATTAAATTGTATTTTTTAGAAATTATATTGGTTTTTATGTTATTTTATCATGAGAGATATAGTAAGATTACACTTGCAAGTTTGTGTAGTAGGAGGTTAGAAAGCTACTAGGTGGTTAGTAGTTATTGTTGTAAGTGAGTAGTTATTGTAGGGAATATGGTTAAAAAATCCTCAATTTAAAGAGAGGTGTGAGGTGAGAAAATTGGGTCACATGTTTTAAGGTTAATCTTGGGTATCAAGAAGATTGTAATATTTTTCTGTACCCTGAGTCACATGTGTTAAGGTTAATCTTGGGTGTCAAAATTGTAATGCCTTCATGTACCCCATGTTATTCTTTAATGAATATTTTTCTTCCACCCCATCTTGATTCTTCTTCTTCTTTCTATTTGGTTGTAAGATTTGGGCTAGTGTGACACTGTTACACTAATTGAGAAGTGGATTGTTCTAGTATTATGGCATCCGTTTTCTCAAAAAATTTTAATGGTGTTTAGATCTATTCATTCTAGATTAAAAACAGAGAAATAAAAAATCCTTAATAAGTTTTTGCCAGGTCACCTGGCTATGCACAGAGAAAAGATCATAAGATAAATCTTTTTATGGCTTGTAGTTTGTCTAGTACCATATTTGTAATAATTTTCAATGCTATGACACGTCTTCGTTTCGACTAAAATAAGAGAGGAGACATCACAATTTTCCTCCCAAATCTGAGTACAAACATTGTGAAAAGGAATTGAGGTTTGGATTCAAAAGCCAACTGTTTGCTTTAGCTGCAGTTAACTAAAATTATCTATTCCACGGTTAAGCTAACTGCTTCTTGTTCTTAGCTACAGTTCTTCTGGAATTTCACTCTCTGTCATTTCAAAAAGAAGACTCACTAATTATACCTAGATTTCACAGAATTGTATACTTTTCACATGGCTAAGAATTTTAAGATTGCTATTCATGAACTTGATCTACGTGCAGCGATTACAGTGGAAGAAAGTTAATTTTCAGTTGATAAATAAGAGCATATTTGCTAAACGAAGAAATAATGAATGAGAAGTACTCACGATGCGCAAATACGAGCGTCGAGAAGGAGAAATAGAGAGCCCTTCCGACTTGTTCTATCACCGGCCCACGAAAATCTTTGTTTATTCTATGCTCCAAAACCCAAACTACAAATGCCATGATGAAGAAGAAACATGTTGTGGTCACCCATAGCTCCCATGTTAAAGGTTGCAAGAACACCCACCCTCTAAGCATCTTCTTTGTGGGCACTATCATACTTACCCCTGACTTTGTATAAGGGGGCGTGAAGTCGACATAGTTTGATCGATTTGCGGTTATAATAACATCACCCACCACGGCATCATATTTCTGTTTCCAGACAACCAATATATGCATATAAATAACATCAATATCATTGTTAATGCAAATAATTAAGTAAACTTTGTGTTGCCTAGAAATAGTGGTGGCAACGGGCTGGATCTTTGGGGGACCAAGGCTGAGCTAGGCCAGCTCTGGACCTAGCTTAGCCTTGTTCCCTATGGGACCGGCTTTAGCTTGGACCAAGAGTAGCTAGCCATGCTTAAAAGATTTAAAGTGAAAAAAAAGAAAAATAGAAATAAAGGGTCGGGTCCAGTTGAGTGCCCTAGAGCCTAATTTTTTAGGGCCGTGCTGGCCCCCCAGCTCTTGCCACCCCTACCAAGAAATTTGTTGCCTAAAAATAAAGAAAAAAAAAATGGAAATTTGTAATTCAAAACATAGAAAAATCCATAAATTCAAATTATAACATTGAAAGAGTTTAAACATAAAATAATATGAAAGAGAACAACGAGAAAACTGATGAGAAAGTTAAGATAATAAAATATAAAGATCAACTTTCATAGATGAAACTGAAACATTTTCTACTCATTTAAAAAGTATTTTGTCCGAAAGGCTGAACAATTAAAATTCGTTAATTTTTTATATTTGGGGTTTTCAAACTATTTCTCAAGTGAGACAAAAATGTTTGGCCTAAGGGGATAGATATTTTCAAGCATAAAGTGTTTTAGGAACTTAGTTGTTGTTTAACAAATCTTTATAATGACAACCAGGCTTCTTGGTTTTAGGCGTTAGTTACTCCTGGGCAAACTAAGTTGACCCAATAACTTTTAATTCGTTTTATATTTTTAAGTCCTAACCAAATGACCTTATAACCGATGAATGATTTTCTTGAGAGCAAATCTACACTCTTGAGAGATGGTTTGACCCCACAAGTCAATAAATTGTTATTTAGATCCCAAAATACTTGGGTTGCTCAAGTGATCCAATTACCACATCAAATATATCTTAATTCCTAATTATGGAAATTGAAGCTATGAAAATAGCATAGATCAGGCAAATTTGTGAAAACATATAAATGATAGTCCATAGAATTTTGCAAGATTGATTATTTTTAGAGCTTCAAATCCATCTATCATATCCATAAAAATCAAGATTTGGTTTTCTAGACAGAGTGATTTTTCCCGGTGAGATTTGAGGTGCGACTATATGAAGTTGCGATCTTTATCAAATTTATCTTAATTCCTAATTATGGAACTTGAAGCTCTGATAATGGCACAGATCAAGCAAATTTATGAAAATATATAAATGATAGTCCACATAATATTGCAAGATTGATCATTTTCAGAGTTTCAAATCCGTTATCATATCCATAATCATCAATATTTGGTTTCCTAGATGGAGCCACTTTTCCATGTGAGAATTGAGATGCGAATATATAAAGTTGTCTTCTTACCAAATACTATTCTTTCTAGATTATTGTATCCTCAAATGTGTTGCTTACCCCAAGAAAAACTTGGTAGATCAGGTCATCGTAGCTTCCTGCCATTTTTCCTTCACTATCTTCAAAAGGAATAAACTCATAAGGCAATGCATAGGGTAAAACCTTCAACACTCCATAGAAAGCCTCAATAGAATAACCTGTCACCCTCAGTTCATTGTGAATTGGGTCTCTGTCCACCTTAACAAACTCTTTGAAACCATCTTTTATGGGAACACCAATCTTCATCTTAACTCCATTTGTAGGGATAACCCAACCTTTAGGCACAAGAGTTGGTTCACCAGGCCAAATCACTGGTCTGAGATCGACCACACTGGCCGAATAACCATTCTTTTTCTTCAAAGCTGTCCGGTTCAGATCAGGTGAGAGGCCATACATTGGTGTCCAAAACCCGATTTCTCTAGTGCCTTTCCCGATGATGTTGATTATTTGGAAAATGGAATCGTGGATTTCTCCATTAGGAAAACGAATATCTCCAGTTAAGCCTGTGAATTTGGTGGCTAAGATTGCGCCTAAGAGCCTCGGGCCTACTGGAGAAATTCCTAGAGTCAAGAGGTCAGTCGAATTTCGGGTCAATTTTCTGGCAATTGGTTGCCGGAACTTGATGGCTCTAGTACCAGATTTCTTGACTGCAAGAGCTAGAGCCCAGGTGGCATCGTAGGCTCTTGGACCAAAAGCATTTAATGGAGGGATTTCTATTTCTTTAGGGTACTCCTCTCTGTAATATAGCTTCCACCTAGCTGTGAAATTGGCCAAACGTTTAGTCTTTTCTATGTATGATTTCACCCCCAAAACCCCCTGCATTGAAGCTATGATTAAAGGGTCCATGGAATCCAAGAGAGTAGAGAGCCCATCAGTTATAATCCAAACATAGTCTTTGCGTATCATACCGAGTTGTTCAGCCCGTAAAAATAAGCGAGCGGCTATAGGAGAAGTCATGTGGATTATGAAAACTCGAGTTTGCATAGTCGTGAGTTTGTAGAGCTCCTCATCGATTAACTCATTCGAAGCTGAGGTAGGAAGAACAGTTCTATGTTGAAGGCGAGAGCCGACTTCTAAGAGGGCGTCGTTTACATACGGAATGAATTCCGCTCCATATTCTGTATCTTCGTATATGGCAACAGCTTGCCTCCAACCATAGGCTTTGAAGAGAGCCGCTATGGGTTTGGCTTGCACCGAATCATTAATGGTCGCTCTTACAAAGTAAGGAGTGTTGGTGGAGGAGAGGGAAGGAGAGGTTGCAGAGAAAGAGAGAAGGGGAACTTGGGATATGTTTGCAAGAGCAACCAAAAATTTGGCCTCTGCCGATGTTTGTGGACCGATTATAGCTTGCACCTCCACATTCTTCATCAGGTCCAAAGCTGCACAACAAATACATGGAACTTTCGAGATTCAATTTAAGCTAAGCGTATACTGATGAGCCTCTAAAATCATGTTCAAAGTCTATTTACTCCAGAAACGCAATGAAGACTGCTCAATTTCATGGTTTGATGCTTCAAAGTAATTTATAGGGCGCAAGAATACAAAGTCGCACCTAAAATCTCATGGGGAAATGTAGTTATGGTGTGAAAAATTTTGCAGATTGATTATCTAATGTCAACAATCATTTATTTAACTAAATGGATTTCAAACCCTAAAATTGGCCGTCTTATTGAGATGCGGCTTTAACTAATATTTAAACTGCTAGGATTGCATTTCCTACCAAGATTTCAAAATGCGGCTTTATCAAGTACTATAAAGCACTGAAACCATACCCATATTCCAAATCTTTGTTAAAAATTACCAAAATGAAAAAAAAGGAAAAAGAAGAAGTGCTATGATTGTATCAAAAAATGGTGGCATGTGTTCTAACACCGTGAAAATGAGTGAGAGAGAGAGAGAGAGTAAGTACTGCCATGTGAGAGAGAGGGGAGGAGAGACAGACCAGTTTGGGAAAAGAGGTCAAAGTGGCACTCTGCCATAAAATACTGGAAATGGTCAAAATTGTAGTCTCATAACAAAACGTTTAGAGTTCCATTCTTACCATTGAAATATATTAAGGGAAAGAGATAGTGAGAGTACCAGCTGCAGCAGCTTGGACAACATCGCTACCGGAATCTCTCCAAGAGATAGTGAGTCTAGTGGTGAAGTCAGGGTGGTCCTTGTAGAAATCTTGAAGGGCCATGCTTATGCACATGTTTCCCACTCTCCCCACCAATGAATCCATTGCCAGAACCACCCCCACATTAACACTTGAAGGTTGGGCCTTAGCTAGTGCTACACTGGACCACAAACACACAAGAAACACACTCAAAAGAGAACTAGTCTTCATCTCTCTTCATGCATGTACTCAAACTCTAACTTTCCCTACAATAATTTAGCTTATGGATATTAAAAATGGGGAGGACATATAGAAGCAAGAACCTTAGCAATGCTGATGCATGGAGATCATTGTCTCTCCAGTTCATATTTCCAGTCCATATTTTATAAGGGGATATTGTCATGACCAAGTCCAAAAAGGCAACTATCTTTGGTTTGCTCTTGGAAACTTGCACCAAGGCTCTTGACCAAATAACATTTATGGACAAAAAAAAAAGGAATCTTGACCAAGTGCTTTATACCCTGTAGTTTCGCCTCTCCTTAGTAGTTTCATTGAGACTTTGAGAGTTCACCAAGGATTTTGTGTTAAACTACTAAGATAATTCTAGTGCCTTCATCCTTAACTTCCGGTGTATGGTTTTTCTTTTTTCTTTTTTCTTTTTAGATGGTTATATAATTAGCTTAAAAATATCTTTCTTCCTCAAATTCCAAGTTAAAATCAGTAATATTCTTTGGATTTAAAGAGTGTCAATGACTTGAAACAACAAACAAAACTTGAATTGGTTTTGTTAATTAATGGCTGAAAACTTCTGTGATCTAGGTTATCAAATGGGGATCCAATAACGCAGACATTGGAAGCATTATGGGCGACTTTTTAAGATTTCATTTGTTTTATGATCATTCGTAAAGGTACCTAATGATATCTAGAATACGGCCATCCAAATGGGGCCTAATATCTATTAAGATATGCTATGGTATCTAACATTAATCGGGAAAAGAAAAAAGAGGAAAATGGTTATCTAAATAAATAAAGCCTCACTTGATAATTCTTCAGAAATTGTAATTTAATTATTGGAAAAACATTACATCGATCATCTTGGATTGAGCATTATTGTTATGAAAAGAAATTATAATTTTAAGATCTAAAAGTAGTGCATATTGAAACAAATTATCTAGACCGTCAATTTTGCCTTTAAAAATAAGTGTTCAAAGATCTGTACCATTTTTTGGCTTTCGTATTTTATTGTCGGTGTTGAAAATTGATTTTAGAGCCAACATGAAGAATTATGTGGCTGAAAGTGCCTTGTAGACGAGGATTTGAGGTGAGGCTTTATATCAGTTTTTATAATGCCTATTATAGGAACTTCATCCAAAAAATTGATGTGCTATGATATCTAACTGAACTTGGAAGCTACAAGTCTTTAAAAAATTGATATGCTATGATCTCTAACTAACCTTGGAAGCTGCAAGTCTTTAAAAAATTGATGTGCTATGATATCTAACTAGTCTTGGAAGGAACAAGTCTTCCAAAGTATAAATAACATTTACTTTACCGATGTAGTGTCGACTTTTTTTGTTTTTATTTTTTCTCATATATGAAAATTAGAGGCCAATAATGTTGAGGCCCTTGTGAGTCATCAATAGTGACAAGCTTACATTTTTTATATTAAATAAGCTCCCAATAGAAAGCACAGGGAAGTTTAACAAGATGGGACCATAATTCTTGAGCTCACTCCAAGAATTAAGAAATTTAGTTTGACATTAAAGAGAGGGTCTCACAAATTACGATGTATAGAAAATTTGCTAGTGATCTCATACTGGATAACAAAACAAGCTTAAGATTGACTTTTATGTAAGGTTGTCTTTCATGTAACCGGGAAAAGGTAGAAGGTAAGTTAGAGGACGTATACTATGCTCCCGTGAGAGCATACGGTGTATTTATTCCTTCACTCAAAATACTTAGTTTAGGAAGATTTATTTTTTAAAACTAAATTTTTGACAACACATAAGAATTACTAGATGATTATTTTCAAAAGAAAAGTTTTGAATTTTGAGTGATATGACACTTAGATCTACCTTTCAAAAAATGGACGGTTTCTATTCAATCTTGAAGCATTAGTTTTTCTAGTACATAGATTTTTTTTATTTTTTATTTCTTTCCATTTTTTTTTTCCTAAATGAGCTTATTCTATAGGTTGTAGAGATATATGCTCATAATTTGAGATCCAAACAATAGCTCGAGCATGTATTTTGCTCGTGGGAGTAAATGGATAGTATACTCCCAAAGGAGTATAAAATCTTTTAGGACTGCAGCCTTAAAAGATCAGCTGTGTCAAAATAAGTAAAGCCTCACCTCATAACTCATAGAAAATTACAATTCAAGTGTTGGAAAATATGCACATTAATCATCTCGACTTGAACGTTATGGTTGTGAAAAAATTAGGATTTTAAGATCTAAAAATAATGTATATTGTAATAAATTATCTAGACCATTTATTTCGCCATAAAAATAAGTGTTCACATATCCTCAAGATCTGTACCATTTTTTTAGTTTCAAATTTTATTTTTCCTATTGAAAATTGATTTTTGAACCATCATGGAGATTTTCGTTGCCGAAAGTGCTTTTCAGACGATGATATGAAATGAAGCTTTATTGTGTTTTCATAAAGCATGGCCTTATTGAAACTTCATCCTCAACTTTTAGGTGCTCTTATTTTAAAAGGTGCTTGCACATTGCACGAATATCTCGTAAGAAAATTACAACTATTTTTCAGTTTCAATGAACCCTCGACCGTTGGTCGTCATTGTTTCACTCAAATCCTATCCAATGGAGGCAAATTCCAAATGTTTGACATCAACAAAAGAAAAGAAAGGATTGGCTTCAAAGTCCTCTTTCCTTTTTTTAGTTGAAAAACTATGTGAGTTTAGTTAGAATTTGAGATAAAGTGCATAATTTGGTGACTTGCAAGGGGAAACTTTGTTTATCTTGCTCAAATTGGTGCTCCCCTACTTCAGATCCACTTCTAAAGTGGGTGAGAAACCAAAAGAGTTTCAATCAATTTTCTCTCCAAAAACACTATTCTCAAATAAAATTATGGTTCGGAGAAGTAGATGCACCAAATCAATTGGCATTTTCAAACCAAATTTCAAAACTAAACACTTGATTTCCGTCCTTTTGTGCCTAGCACGGTACAATTTGTTGAATGTGAAAAAATCACGGGTTCATACTGTGCATTTGCTCCCTCGGGGTATAACTCACAGCAAAAGTATTTTTTGTTTTTTGGAGCCCAAATTTTGGGTGACTAGCCTCTAGATCGTAATAACCAACCTCACAAAAAGAAAAAAAAAAAAAGGAGTCCAATTTTGGGAAGGCAACATCTAGGTGTTTGAGAACTTCAAATGTGAAATTTTTCATGAAAATAATCATCTGATGATGCTTAGATAAATTCCAAAATTTTAGATCAGAAAAATCAACTAAGTTACATTTTTGCCGAACGTAGTTGTTGTACAGTATGATCATCTTTTTGCTTTTTTTTTTTTAGTAATTCAGTAGAGAAAAAAAGCCGGTGTAAATGGATAGTGTCGGCAGGGTTGGAAAACCCCAACGTGGTTGCCCAAGGAGAGAACGCTGCATGGGCCCCATTCCAACGCTAGTCTAAGTTTTGGCAAAGAAAGAAAAAAGAGAGAGCAAAAGACAAAACCTCCCCTAAACATAGAGTCTCGCCAAAATAGAGACATGACCTCCAAGAAAGGTGTGGTATTTTTATGGGTTTTAGGTTGGTAATTCTTCTACTTTTAAAGAGAGAAAATCTCTTGGTTGCTTTTAAGGTTATCTTTCCAATACCGATCCGTTTTGTAAACCACTGGTTAAGACGTTGAATCCAGATAATCAAAAGAAAGAAAGACATGCTACCCTCACAAGTATTCAATTATGTAACTTGATTTAAAATCTCTAAAATGTAGGACAACATGTTTAGGTATCACGGTAGTGGTGCTTTCGAAGCTATAAAAATAAGATAGGAAAAGAGATCTACATAGATCAAATTACAAGTAGGAAAATCACCTGTCAGATCAAACTATCTTAGGGTCTATTTTTTTTTCTTTATAAATTAGTTTTTTATACTTTTAAATATCATTTTTAATATTTTTTATGCTTTAAAAATTTTTATATCCAAACCTCATATTTTTAATACATTTAATATTATTTATAATTATTAATTCACTAAATAAATTAGTCAATCTTTTCTTTTCAATAGAAATTTTTTTAAAATCTTTATATTTATAAAGTTTTTTAAAATCTTTATATTTTGAATAATAATTTGACTAATTTCTGTTAATTATACTATTTTTAATAACTAATTTTATAATAATTAAATATTTTTTATCCTTTATCATGGGTTCAATAATTAAATGTTATCAACCGTGACACTTTCTCCTAAGTTTTATGCACACAGAAATTTCAAATGGGTATTGTTAGCTCCATCTAGCACCCTAGAGTTAATAATGTAATTTTAATTCCTTCTATCTTTTTTAATATTTATTAATCAATTTTAAGACTTAAAATTTTTAGAAAAAAATAATAATGAAGGTTTAAAGCATTAAAAAATCAAAATTTAAAATTATAAAGGAACTAAAGCTGGTTTCTAATTCTAAGAGTAAAAATTTTCTAATGGAAATGCTTCAAAGTGATAAATAACGTTCCTTTCTCAAGAGAGATCCTCAAAAGCAGGAATATATTAAGAAACCATAATGAAGGTTCCCAACAGGATTCAAGCTTGTGCTCGAGTCATTAGCAGTGGACGTTATCAATGCTATATTTCAGGTTCAATTCCTCCTTATGAACTGCCCAAAAAAATAAAAAGAAAAAACCACAAAGGTTGGCATCTTTCCTTTCTCATCATAGTAGGAAACAACAATTTAAGTAAATTGTATTTCCTCAAAATAGAGAACGGTGATGCACTTTCAAACATTTGCCCTCAAGAACCTCACGCACATAGTTTGCTCGATGCGAAACACGTGAATATAATTAGAAAATAAGTACAAAAAATAAAAAAAACACATAAAGGACACCATAATAATACAGGATTTATGTAGGCTACCCCTAAGGCCATGTCCAAATAGAAATGGAAATAAAAAGTCTCAAGAATACTATAGTTTTGAGTTACAACGGCAAAAACCTCATCGATCTTTTATTATAAACATGTTGTCTTGACTGAGCAACTTGTCGATCAACCTCATCATTCTCACTATTACGCTATTACTGGAAATAGAACCTTGTGAGTTACTAAGAGCATTTTTCTCTCTAGAAGTGGAAGTTTAATAAACTCAAAATGTATAAAATATAATCTCTATCTAGGAGGCTATGTCTTTCTCTCTTCGAGACACATCTCGTTGGAGATCTATTCTTTTGAACTTAGTTGATATTATTTCTTCTTTGATTCCCTTTCAAAGAGGTCAATAGGTTTTCTTGGTCCTTAAGAATTTTTTTTTTCTACTTTTATTATAATTACTTTCAATTATTAGAAAATTNTATATATATATATATATATATGTCGTGGAGTNAAGGCACACGAGGGATAGG